AGTGAAATAAATAGGACACACATGTGTAAATACCAAATAGTTTCTCTAGGGTGAGAAAATGAAAGTGTAAATAAGGACTAAAAGGTATAATAGACAATGTGAAATAGGGAGAAAAAGGGCAAAGGGGAAGGGGAAGTGGGCAGGGTAGGGGAAAGGAAAGAAGGGAATGAAATTAACAGGAGAAAATGAAAAAATGGAAACAAAGTCTTTGTAAATAAGGAGGGATGGAGGGGTTGAAGGGAGGGCACAGGAGAAAGGGAAAAAATAAGAACCAAGAGTGATTATGAAAAGTTGCAAATTTCAGTGATGAATGTCATTATATTGTATACCTAACATGTACCAATAAAATTAATTTTAACCCCCCCCCAAAATTTTTGAAGAAGTGAATGTGAAGAAATTCTATTGTCTTTCTATTTCATGTGAAGTGAATATTGGAATAAAAGCTTCACTAATAATATTCCCATAGATTTATGAATTAATAAAGTTAGTCTAAATTTCTTGTCCAAAATTTCTTTTTTTCCCATGATCAACATATTTTTACACACATGCTGAGGACAGAAATATGTTAAAATGTAGGAAAATGATTAGGAATTAGTCTACCCAAGTAGTAATTCTATTTGCTTGATATCTGTGTTCTTTAGGCACATGTTCTACTGCAGAGTAATCATTTCCTTACTAATACATATAACGTGAATTTGTGTGTATGCATGCACATGTGTACACACACACATACACAAGCCACAAACAGGCATTTCCAAAAAAACAATTATTAACTTCCCTGTTATCATTGATTTCATTGTGTCCTGTATTTTGTGTTATGTTGGGCTTCCATTGTAATTTGATTCTATAAATATTTTAATTTCCCCATGATTTCTTCTGTGATCCATTGACTCTTCAATGTTGAATTAATCTCCATGTGTTTGCATAGTTGTTTTTTTTAATCATGAAAAAAATAGAAAACATTTTGAGAATTCTAAATTTGTGTAGTTGCTAAAAGACATAAAAAGCTGGAAAATTATCACTGAAAGAAAAATCAATGAAAGGAAAAAAATCCAAATATGTTCATGTTCTTATCTCAGCTTCTATGATGTCAAACATGAAATTTTGGTTGGTGGAAGGCTTAGAAACAGCAGCAATAGGGGTTTTTACCAAGTTGTACACTGAAATACTTAGACCCAACTGGCCAATGCCCAGGCTCACACAATTTTACAACTAAAATATCTTTTGTCTACATTAACAAATTCCACTGTCTTCTATAGAATAATCAAGCTGTTTAGAACTCCCAGAATATTTCTTTCAGAGTAAGAATAGTGAAATTCTGCAGCAAACATTTAAAGTAGGAAATATATGGCTCAAAAAAACCAGTCAAAGGAGAGTTAAATAATCTTTAGGCACTGTGAAGACTTGAAATTAAAAATGTGCCATTTATGTTCAGAAAAAGACCTCAAAATCACCACTATTTTGCTTTTACAATAACATGCATCTTAAAATTTCAGTTATACATTAATTCTTGAGTTATATATAGAAAAAAAATTGCACAAACAAAAATAACTGTTCACTGTCCCTCATTCCTGGTTATAAGACTATTCTTTCTCAAGTGGAGGGAAAAGTGATTCACAAGCCCTCACCTGGCATTAGGGCACTTATGAATTCAAAGCAACCAAAGTTGGAATCTCTCCAAACAAAAATTCACAGCCTTTTAAAATGTCAAGCTTTTTCTTATTTAGGAAGTCATTGTCTTTTTAAATTAAGTACATTACATACTTTTGTTAAAGAGCAGAAAACAAAACAAAAAACGCATCTCACATAGTGAGATGGTATAATTAGCAAAACTTGCACAAATATAAACCTAACTTCACTAGCTGAGGAAGCTTGTAACTGAGGAACTTTTAAAACTGCCAATTGGAATTGCAAACTGTAAAACCTTTGGTCAAACAAGATTCAGGCTGGGGATGTAGCTCAGTGGTGTAATGCTTGCCTAGCATGCCTGAGGCCCAGATTTCCATCCCTAGCTCTGCAAAGAAATGAAACAATAATTCAGATGCAACACAAAGTAAAAACAATCTTAACTCAAAGTTTCCTAATGTTACAGCAAACCTAGAAACCTAGATTGACTATCAAGTACTGCAAGTATGATACCCAAAGCCTTAGCTTAAATATATGCCCTTTTAATCAGAAAATAACGCAATGCTTGATTTTGTTTCTGCTTTCAGTTCCAACTGTAGCCTTTTGACAAAACATTTTCCCATTAATTGAATTGTTAAAAAATACAACCAAGCTTATGCTCATTAAATATACATGTATATAAAAAACATACAAAAAGTACAAGATTGTTAGGAAACTTACAGTGTCAATGTCCTGTTTTCTCTAAGTCTTTAGTAAAGGGCCAAAGGTCAAGTCTTTCTCTGCACCAACACTCAGTATGTCCAGAACTCTGAATGCAGTGTCATGCCTATGCCTGCTATGCACAGAATCTTAATATGCAGTCCTTAAAAAAAAACAACAAAGGACAAAAAAGTAACCAAAAAACAAAAACACACCACAGGACAAAAAGTTCTTCTTAAATCAAATTCTATTTGTGAATTCAGCAAAATAATTTCTATAAAATAAAACAGCAAAATATTTAAATAGAATAGGGTGGGCTGTATCTGTTTGCAGGGGGTATTTGGTGTTTAGACAGTTTCCAAAAAATTACACACATTCAAGCCACCAATTCTTTTAAATACAGTATTCACTGATTAGTTCCTTGTCTTTAATCATGTTTATTCTGAAATTATGATAACTCAATTAACTAACCAGTAGTTTCTTTTTTAATTAGACCCTGCTGTGAATGTTAAAATTTTTGGAATAATGAAAGGAGCTAGGACAATTCTTGCTTTCAAGTAAAATTGTGACTGAGCAGAAAATCAGCCAGACATCTTGGTGCAGAGGTACTCCAAGTACTGTGGGATTCTGATAACTTCCACATCACTGGGATCCAGCAGAAGGAAAGTTGTAGAAGATTCACCTAATAAGCTGTAAGAAACAAACAATCACACCAAATACAGTCTTCTATTATGCTCCAGCATCCTGGCATAGCAAACTGTTTGCATATTTGTTTTAAATTCCCATTACTGATATTTAAGTGTTCTTCATCCCACCCAGAGACTCAACTGTTAAACAGAAAGAAGGAGCCTACGTGCAACTGAAAACGGCCTGTTTGTCACATCTCTCCCTTATCTCATATTTTATATTCTAGGTGTAAGGAGGAAAAGCTGACCAATTCAGCCCTCACGCCAAGACAGCTGCAGTCATTGTGGTAATTTTGTCCTCATTGGCTACACTAACTTGGTGTGAAGCCATGCTACATGTTGCAGCATAACTATAGCTTCAAAGTGATTAACCTAATATCAGAATAAAAAAGGCAATGAAAAATATCTAGAAACAATGTTACATCACCAATTTCCTCATCAACCAAATAAAAGTTACCAGCCTTACATTGCTCATAGTAAAAGTGATTCCAGTGGCAAAGAATTAACAAGAAACTATTGGTGTGGCTGACATGAATGGGCTGTTTTGTTGCTGTTGGTTTTTGTTTTTGTAAAGGAGTTGATCCAATTGCCAAGAGGCAGGCAAACACTTGTAGTTTTTGTAGATCTGGGAGTCTCATCAAGAAAAAAGTTTCTTGCTTAAGAATTAACAGTCAATATTAATATACTATATACACCTTTGCCATTTACACATTAGCATCAGGCCATTTATTACAAAATGCTATACACTTTCCACTGCAGGTGGGTTATATATTGACAGCAAATTTCTGCAGATAAGACAGTGAATAAACTCTCCACTCCATGTTGATCAGGAATATTTTTTCTAGTTTTAAATATTAGCTAGACACAGAAAAAAGGTTGGACTATAAGGCCTGGGTGCACAGTCTAGAGGGAACCAGTTTATTATATGCATTTCACTGATCCTTGGTTTGAGGTGGGGATACTTCTTCACTGCCTTCGTAGTTTTCCTGTGCTTGCTGGCCAATTCTCTGAGGGTTGTTCATGTGATGTGCTGCTGGGCCTGTATATGGCTGTCCATGCACATGTTTATTCTGTTGATACTGAGATTCAGGTGAATGGAGGTACAATGGAGCCTCTTCAGGTGGAGGTGACTCATGCTCATCTGGGGCATCTTGGTTGTCTGGATCCTCCTCTGAACAGAGTTCACAAGCTTTTGCAAGTGTCATCTAGCACTATGTGACCTCTCCAAGAAATAGCCATTTGAGGTTTCATTGCTCTGCACTGGAGGAGACCAGTTGTAAGTGTATTGAGGATTGGCAATGTATGGTCTTCTTTCAAGTTCATCTCCAAGCCATTCCACTGCCCAGGTCCACTTCCTTTTAAGATCTCCATTGCCCTGTAGGATTTGGTAAGCAACAGGACAATTGCTAAAGAGTGCTACCATACATTTTATACACTGGTATGCTCTTTTTTGATAGTGATTCATAGAGCGCTGGATTGTGTCAAATAGTCCGTCTCGGTCATCTGGAATTCCTTTAAGAGCATTATGAATTCTGTGAGTCTGCCAGGAATCCTCAATCAGTAAGATTTGCAAAAGTAGATCCAGATAGGGTCAGAGTTCATAGGTATAGGAATAAGCAACCTGCCAGAGAAGTTCACTGAGGACAGTAGATGAGAACTGAGGATTCTCCCAGCAGCAGAAGTGAAGTAATTTGACAGTTTCTTCTGAGTTACTGCTGTCTTCGATAATTTTCTTCACATAACTTGTTCTCACAAATAAAATGTCTGCCACATTCTGCTGATTTGGCATTATAGGCTGTGATAAGTTAGGATCGCCAAAAGGATTGGGAAGAGGAGGATTACCATTGATTGAAGACTGTATTCTTGATGAGACATTGCAACACGGATTAGCTGTGATACTACCGAGTATAATTTGCCTAACTCAGCATACTGATACTTGATCGGAGGGCCTGGGCTGTCATCTAAAGACACAAGCATAAAGGTAGCAGGTACTCTCAGTTTCAGCAGCTGTGTCTTCTCTGCCACACCTAAATTGGCATACATCACAAACAAGTTGAAATACTGCTGTAAATGACGTCCATGTTCTGAAACTTCCCTTCTTAAGAGATTTAGGACTGCTCTTAGTAAGTGATCACTCAAGCTTACATTGTCATAAGCCTGACTAGAAGGTCCAGGAGATGCAAAAGGTGAAGGACATGGTCCATCTTGCAAGGAAAAGTGTGCAATAAAAACTATAAGTTTTGCAAATGCACCTCTCACTTCTGCACTAGGGCATTCCAAAAGGCATTCAGAGAAGCGATTTGAAACATTAAAAAGGACATTATGAACAAACCCAAAACGTACATTCTTGCTGTGATGAAGGAGAATACACAACGCATCATACCAATCGCTGGCAGAGCCACGGACTATTTTCTCTGTGTGAAACCCTGTAGTAAAGAGGAACCTAGCAACAAGTTGAATACTAATCATAGTAATTTCTTCTGCTTCAGGCAACAGGTGATCTTGCCCTGGAGGAGGGTTTAAGTAAACACCATTACATGTAAGCAGTTTTTTCATAAACTGGAAATACTCCAGACTGTACTGCATTCGGTTATGCATGAATTGGACATTCTGTCTGTGTACACTTCTCTCAATGGCTGATGGCATAACAATCTGATGGGGTCTTGTGGTGACAGCAAGCTGATATATATCTTACCAACTCGTTGTCTTGGTCTATTGTGTCCATTCGTTCATAAAAAAGTATATAAGCATTCCACCACCTTTTCTGATGCCTGTATGACATGTGCTTTATCATGTGATCAAACACTTCACCCATGTACTCTTCACCAAAACACTGGTTTTTCTTTTTTTTTTTTTGGTACCAGGGATCGAACTCGGGTCCTTGCGCTTGCAAGGCAAGCGATGGAACCACTGAGCTAAATCCCCGGCCCAAAACACTGGTTTTTCATTTCTTCATCATCATCCATTTTACACTCTGTTACATCTCCATCATCGAATTTATACCAGCAATTTCTCTCACCATCTCCACCATTCCTCTGAATTATGTAAGAATAATACTGTCCTCCACTTGCTTGACCACTGTGTACAAGCACACCCATAAATCTGTACTTTGTGCTTCCTGCTGTCTCACGTTCAGACTGCTCATTCTGTTGTATCAACTGACTCTCAGGGTTTACATTATCTCCCTCCAGCTTAGCAACTCCTGCAACTGTGTAAGGTTCCATGTCCAGCTCTTGGGGAAATTCGAAATAATCATTGAACTTGATTGCACATTCTCTTTCCTAGTCATAGTCAAATCATTTGAGTTGGATAGCAAGAACAGGAGGTAATTTTTTAATTAGCAAGCACTTACAGTATCAACCATTTTATTGCATTTTTCACAATGATATGCATTTGCACCATCCAATAAATCTCCTTTGAAATACTGTTCCAAAAAATCAAGAAGGTTTTGGTGATTTCTAATGTCTACATTCAGAGTCATAAAAGATTCTTCACATTTGTACCTATGTGGGCAGCCTTGGCAAATCTTCTGATCAGCAAAGGAGCCTCCTAAGACTTTACTGAGCATAGCTGGATGTCCTAAGGCTTTTAAAGCTTCATCTAAACTATCCACCAATGAATTAAAAAATTCTAAAGCATCATGTTGTTCACGGAGGTTAACAGGCTCACCCCAAAGCCTGAACTGTTTCCAAAGTCCTCTGGGCACATAGTATTGCAGTCGAGAAGCTGCTAAATGGCCAAAGATGACCTGAAGGTGTCTTAAGATACCAATATTATACTCTTTCCTATCTTCTGTTTTACTTAATGCCGGTTTGTCTTCAAACTTTTGAGGGTATCTAAATACATCATCCCTGGGATCAACATTGCTGTCATTGTCCTGCTTCTCATCCCCAGACATATCATCTACATCACTACCTGTGCCTTCAATTGCAAGAATACCATTCCTGATGGAGGGAATCATGTAGAGTTGTTGAATGACAGAATTCATGTAACAAGTAGCACCAGCATTTTTCAGCCCCACAAATCCTTTTGGTGGGTGGGGTCCAACAGGTGGCAGATATTCCCACTCAGTAAGTGCTTCACAAGTAGTTATTGCTGTGCCAATGTAATACATTTCAGTCAAAGAATCCACTATCTGTTTGAGATTCCTCACACAGCCAACAGCCAAGGCCACAAGTAACTCAAAACCAGCATTAATTGTAGCTAGTGAACTACAGACTGGGATAGCCTGTTTGGCTAGGAGCTCTCCATTTCTCATATACTGCAGGTAAACACTGGATGCAGGGAAGACGAAATCATCAATTCTTTAATGAGATTAGCACCTTCTTTTTCACAACCAATATGAAACTTCTTCTCAGGAGTTTGAAAGGCCAATAACTCTTCTGTTACCCTAAGGTGGCCTTCCAAGATTGTCTCTTCCACACCCGTTTCACCTGTTCTTTTAACATCATCACTAATTCTTTTAAGCCAATCAATTTCATTATTAAGAAGAACTTCAGCATTGGGTACATTAATATTGCAGTTGTAAGCATAATTAAGAAGGTGTCTTAAGAGAGTGAACTAGTCCCCTGAATGTTTAGCTCTTTCTCTAGCTGTGCTCCTCAAAACAGTAAAGAGCACAGTAATGAAGAGAAGCAGAGGCCTGTGTCCCATACAACATCTGGTACACATTAAAAAGAACTGCTCCTGTGCCACCTGATGAACAGTTTTGCTGTGACAGTGCAACAGTAAGTCAATAATGAATGTCTGCCAAGCCTTTTCTTTATTTAGAGCATCCAAGGCTGTTGGAATCAAAGCAAAACACAACGTCATCACTTCCAATGCTTCACGGCAGACTTGTTCATCTTCCAAGTCCAGCTCATTGCCTACATTGGTCTTCTTATAAATTTTAGTGATTTCTTCATTTGGGCTAAAAACTAGCTGTAATGCCCCACATCCTGATGCCCAGATAATTTTCTGAATGCTCTAATCACACAAATATCAGGCATGTATCTTGAAGCCTCATCAGATATCTGCTGAGCAAGACAAACTGACACATTTCTAAGCATACACTCAGATGACGGGTTAGGAATGCTCTGAAGGGCACTTTGCAGCACCACTGCTTGATCATGAGTAACTTGATTGACCGATGTCATGGGATTCATGCCTTCTACACCTGGCTGACAAGCTTCTGCCATAGCCCGAATGTGGCCATAGCCAATGGCAGTTAGCAACAGTTTGGCTATTTTAAGAGCATTGAGGTAGGCACCCCTTCGAGTTTCCATATCTGCATTTGGTAGGAAGTTATTTCTGGTTAGCATACTCAGGACAGGGGATAGGGCACCACTTTTCAAGAAGTGAAACTGAAAATCAGAGGAATCATCTGCCAGAGGTGCACCAGCAGGCATTAACAAGGCATAGACTACCTCTGTTAGGTATAGCACTTGTGAAGCTGAAGGACCAAAGAAAAGCGAGTCAAGAGATGGGCTAAGGCTGCTTTCTCCAAGTTTGGCATGGTCTAAACAAATAGCTCTTAATTTTTCTATTGTTGTGCTATCTGGTGGCATAAGTTTCATAAGCACTCTTGCTCCATCTCTAAGAGGTGGCATATTTAGGCTGCTACCTACGTCTGCAACTTGCCAAAGGAAAGAGACATATCTGGGATGCAGTGACATTATCACTCCAGGTAAACAGCTTTCTACTTCAGGATTAGGACCATCACTATAATGATTACCATGGTTTCCAGGAGATCCAGTTGAAGAATCAGATGAGCTATCAGGGCTTGAAGGCATATTGGAACTGATTTGTGTAAGTTTGGCTGTAATTAGCGATTTATCTTTCAGGTTTAGTTGTCCAATCAGCTATCATCTCCAGGATCTATCAACTCTCCACCCACAAACAGCTCAATTTTTGTATGGGCAACATTGGCTTTAATGCGGTTAAGAATACATCGTCGAACTGAACCAACTGTATCATTTATATGAGACCATACTTCCAAGTCATCTACCTGTCTGCCCTGGTTTGGAAATCGAACTATAAAAGAGAGGTGTTTACCGTGAAAAGCTCTTGACATAGGTAGAATGGTTCTTTCTTCATGATAATCGCTGTCACATTCATTTATATATTCTCTTAAAACAGTTAATACTTGAACCATTTGAACAGCTTCCTGTCTTGCACAATTAATACTGTCTTTGTCACCATCCAAAACACACAATGTGTCATAAGAGGCTTTCAAATGATCAAAGCAAGACTGAATGAAGTCTTTGTGGATCACCACCTGATTGACCTGCAGCCTTGGAGCAAGGTTCATACATATCTCTTTAAGGAGATCTATAGCTCTGCTGGCAATATCATCATTACTCTGAATCACGACCCTCCAAAGATAGTCTAATCCTATCAACTCCAAATCATCCATCATATAGGCTCTCCTTTTCACTACTAGTTTTCCTTCTCGACAATTCACAGCTTTGAAGAATCGCTCAAAACATTTCATTCCATTTTCAGTTAATAGGGTAGGATCAAGCTGAAGCTTTCAAAGAAGTCCTTATTAATATCAGGATCTAAGTCTGGTTCATCCCCCATTAATTTGGAATACCATTTAAAACAGGCTTTGCAATCACAAAGGTAAACTGCATTCTCAGCTAAGCATTTCCATATTTGTTTTGCCTGAGGGGCACATAGCCACAGTTGGCCATCCTTCAGTAAAAATCTAAGGAAGTTTAGCCATTCTTGGACTTCTTAAACATGACTGTATCTGCTTCCCAGCCTCACAGTTTGTGGGTCATAGTCTTTGTGGTCTCTAGCGTACAGTCTCATGCTTTCCATGTAAGTTGCAAGGTTTTCTGCTACCAAAGTAACTAGGGCATGATTGTGCTGAAGTTGATTAAGTCATGGAGATAAAATATGTGAGGACTTCGCTGAGTTTGACTCAAATTTTGAGGTGCTTCACCAAACAAAACTACAAATTTCTCTAACTTGCTTCAGTGCAGGAATGACCCATTTGTCATTTGTGCGAAGTTCTTCTATAAAGCGATTTATCCACTGGATCTTTTGTATGTCACGGTCCTGGGAACAACTATAATCTAGTATTTTTATGTGGGCACTAAGAGCCAGGTCCATGATATCTACAGGCATATCATCGCTGTGGGCTAGATTCCACAGAAGGTTCAACACTTTGTGTGCCATCACACCATCTTTATCGTCTTCTGTAAGACGACGAATCAGCTCAAGTAGCTTTTCATGTTGCTTTTTACTTGCGTTTGTCCAATTAGCCTTAAAGCAATAAAAAAGATGATCAAGTTGTTCAGGTGAAAAATCCCATGCCAATTTTGGCAGTAGATCATGTACATTCTTCACAATGGCTTCATGTTTCCCTGCCTGTGCTGCCCAGATATTATCAAGATCTTCCAAGGTCAGAGCTTTTTCTTTGATGACAAAACTAAGAATCTTCTCTAGCTTCTCTGCATACTGTGGCTGATGAAGACTATCTTGCAAGACTATAGATAAAATATTGTTCTGCTGTATCCATTCTGCCATTTGTTCAGCTGTGAGCCACTCTTCCTCCTCAGTATTACCATGCTGCTGGGTGTAGCATGATACACTAGAAATCACCTTATTAACTTCATTCAGTGCATTCATCTTCCCATTGAAAGAAGAAATTTGTAGTAATCTAAGTATCATTTTTAACCTAAATATTTCTAAGTTTTTTACAGTTTCTTCTTGTCCCAGAACCCTTGAAGCTAAATTCATCAAAGATTTAATGATCATGGAAAGGGCATCATTTTTGGTTTCATTCTTTGCTTCTTTCTTCAGTTCTTCATCAGTTAACTTTTCTAAAAACTGTGGAACCATTTCTATTATTGGAAGAAAGTACTTTTTCACTATATGAAGAGTGAGAAACTCATAGCATTGTCCAAAGGGTTTAATAAGGGCTGCAATTATTTGGACGTTTAATGCTGATCCATTAATAAATCGATCATGCAATATCTGGAACCCATTTAAAGTGCCAAATTTGTTAAGAAGATCCACTAGCCAACCTTTTGGTGATCGAGGGTTTGGAGAAGGAATTCATCTACAGGCAACTGAACACTTGAGGAAGCTGATTCACATGGGTGTGTACCATTGTAGATATGAAATTTGCAATGAGGATTTAAGGCCATGGCAAGTTCTAGAAGTGGAAACCAGTCTTGGGACAGCTTGGCCACACATAACTCCACTAGCCAATGAGTATTATTAATAATACATCTATGAATTTCAAACTTCCAGCCACTCACTGCTTCATCTGTAAGGATTTTAGTGAATGATATTGTTAGCCCATCTCGAAAGAATCGCTGACATGCTTCACTTTTAACATCAAGGCCTTTCTTACTAAGATCAATAGCAGCTTCTAAAAGTACTTCTAATTCCCCTTTTGGCAAAACTGGAACCACCCATTGAGGCCTATCGATCATATCATCCAACTTTGCCAAGTCAGTATGTGGAAATGCAGGTTCCTCATCTTCAATCCGTGGTGGGGCATCACCTTGCCTTTGTTCATTTGGGGGAGTTGCTGGGGAATTTTCATTGGAAGAATCAGGTGATGAAGTCTGATTCTGTTGGAGGGGGAGCTGAGACTGGCCATCAGGAGCCTGGCCCTGGTTGTCATTCCCATCGACTGGAGAGCCACGAGTAGTGGCTGTCATACTCTACACAGGACAGATCTTTGCAATTTTGTCTGCTTATGTAGTTGTCTTGACAAAAGAAATTATAGTCCACTTATAGAAGATGAAATACCAGCATTTGTCAGTCTTAGAAAGCTCCAATTCAAGAATAAACCATCTTGCAGAGACCATTGCATAACTGCACGACTCGGGTGTCTACTTCGAACCAGGGCACTCAGAGGCGGGGGCACCACGCAACGGCTAAGCTCGGTCCGGTCCGCAACCTAACCTGGGTGCATCCCAGGTCCGGGGGTGACGGGCGACAAAGTGTGTCGAGGGGCTACAGCGGCAGGGCTCGAGACTGCGGGAGTGAAAACGAGGGGCTGCACCTGGCGCCCCCGAGACTCGCTCCTCACCGCGCCCGCTCTGCAGCAGCGGTGGCTGAAACCGCCTCCACCTCCTCGGCCGGCGACGGCCCTCTTCCCCTACTCTTCTCAAGATGCACTCGCTGAGCTCAGACGGGCTCCGGGCGGTGCGTTTGTCCTGCACCTCCTCCTGCTCCTCCTCATGCAGAGGCAGCTTCACCTTCCCTCAGCTGCCGCTTCTGTCCCCGCTCCTGGCCTGGTCGCTTTTCGGTGGTTGGCTCCCCAATCCTGGCGCCGACCCGAGCGAGCACCGGGCGCTAAGGCGGCCGCCTCCCGTGAGAGAGAGGCGGCAGCGGCGGGCTCCCGCGAGGCCGGAGAGCTGTGCGAGGCGGGAGGGGGTCGGCGGCAGAGGCCCGAGAGGGCCGGGTAAGGACAGATTTCGGCTCCGGCGGCGGCGCAGACGCCTACTAGCCCCAGCACCGCCCAGAGACCCTAACCCCGAGGTTCTCCGCCGTCAGGTTCCATCCCTCAAGGCCCCGCCTCCCGGCCCTCCCCTTTCCCCCGCCCAGCCCCCGCTCGCTCAGCTGCCCCGCTCTCCTCCCCGGGCTGTGGAGCCGGCTGGACCCAGTGAGCTTCCTGCGAGGGACGCTCAGAACCCGGAGAGTAGAGTAGGGGAGGGGAAGACAATGCAGTAAAGAGTGTTCGCGAAGCACCTTTCCTTCCGGTCAGCCCCTTCAGGGTCATGGTATGGCCAGACCGGGCGTTCCATACCCCTCGGCTCGGGAACAGGGCGGGGGCAGAGGTGGCACGAGGACGGGCAGAAGTGGGGGAAGGGACACCGGAAAGAATGTGGCATACTACACCGGAGAAGGGTCTGGGCGGTGGGGACTGGCAGTGTGTAATGGCCAGGACAGGGTCAACTGCGTGAGCGCAGCCGCGTCGCTCTGTTTGCATAGTTTTTTAAACTTCTTTTCCTGTTGATTTCTAGTTTCATTCTGCTGTGATCTGGTAGTATCCAGGAGATTATATTAATTCTTTTGTATTTACTTAAACATGCTTTATGGCCTAAGGTATAGTCTATTTTGGGAAAAATTCCACGTGCTGCTGAGAATAATGTGTATTCTGTTTTAGTTGGATAAAACCCTATGTATATCTTCTAATTTCATTTGTTCAATTTCCAGGATTAGAGACTGAGAATGCAATCAGATCACTAAACCTGTTTTACTCACTGGCTTCAGGTAGGATTCAGGGAAGAGCCAATGATCTACCCTGTTCTAGACCTACTGTTTTAATAAGAACATTTTTATTTTGGTGCTGGTATCGAACTTGGGACCTTGCACTTTGGAGGCAAGCGGTGGAACCACTGAGCTAAATCCCGACCCCCAGACCCACTGTTTTTAGCCCTCCAATTTTCAGGACCTCTGTTCTCTTCAGGAGTCTTGGTGAGGATTATGTCTGCCATCCAGCAAGTTTTATTGTGGGTTCTCTGCCATAAGCTTTCAGACAGCTTTCCTCAATCTTCTTCTGTGTGTTTGGAAAGCTAGGCTCCCTTCTCTCAGCTTACTCAGTCCTCTGTGATTTAGTTGACTTCCTGGGGTTAGGGAGGAGGTTTCTGGAGAGGCAATAACCATGGAGGGAAGGGCCCAGCTCTCATTGCCCATCCCATGCCTTTTTCTAAAAACTTTTGAGCTTTTTGTGAGGTATTAAGGACTCTGGGCCTGTGTTGGGCTCCATGCTCATAGGCCAGGATTCTGTTTGCTACCATTATTACAGATTCTGGGCTATGCCCTGGAAGGGAAATAGAGGAATTCCCCTAGGGATGGGAAAGAAAGTCTTTTGCACTAATGTCAGTTGCAGTGATCCCCTTGCCTCCTTTTCTGGAGAGTTTTGGTATGTACAGTGTGCCTAAATCTCCAGAATTTGACTGGGAACAGCATTAGTGACTTGGGAGACTGCTGTTATCACAGATTCTTCTTCAGGAGCTGAAGAATGCCAAGTGGCACCGTGGTACTGTTAACAATAAAAATCTCTGGGATCTGAGCTGTGTGAACAGCTGCACGTATATACGATTTTGTTCCTTGTTCTAAGTTTCTGATTTTCTGCATTTCATCAAGTCATTTTCCCATTCAAGGTGTAAAGGATGGTTGGATTCTCTACCATCTGTTTTAGGGGCACTCTGACTAACCTTGGAATATAGCTTGGAGCTTTCTGAAAATACTGCTTTCTCTGTGCCACGAAGATCTCAGTCCACTCAATATTTTACATTTAAAACAGATCTGTAAAGGTGGAAAAACAATTTTGCTTCTAATTGATATTTTAATACCTATTGCATGTCAGAGATCAGTCTTTATCATAAAACTTTAGTGACTTGACTGTGTCAGAATTTTTGAGTTCCATCTTCCAAAAGAACTCTTCTAACGTTGAATGAGATGGATGAATCTCTTATCAGTCAAAATAACTGTTGGAAAGAAAGGATGGAATGATTAATTACTGCTGAGTCTCTTTGTTTGGTTCAGGTTCAGTAATGTACAAAAGAGAATGACATAAAATCATATTTTTTTCTGGAATGATGAATGGGATCATCGTTACTGAATGATTTTCTACCTGGTCTACATCAAGAGGTTTGTTTTGAAAAGGTATTTTTAAAAGGTGAAGAAAACTCAATATATTCATAAAGACAGAGATGTTCTTATTGATTTTGAGCAAAGAAAAAAGAGAAATTTTTTATTCTTATGAAAAGTGTATATAACTTTTAGGAAAATATATAAAAGGAAAATTGAGGGCTAAGAATCCTGACAGATTTTATTACTGAGTGTTCATGTGGCAAAATGCTGCTTTGTAAACATGTTGCAATAATGCTAAATCTAAGCCCTAACCTTGTTAATTGTAGATGTGGAACAAATGCTTATTTGAAAGAATGCTGGGCTTCCACTTATCTCTGCCAGTACCATTTTCATTTTCTATGCTTTATTATCCTCACTAGAGTTACTTTTAAAATTTTCTTCTTCCCATTTTTTGTGAACTTTAAATGTATCTAAGTGGTATGTATGCAAACTGTTAAGCCCTCTATAATTTACAAAAAAATAAATCAGATATACTATTTAAATTATAGTATAATAAATAAGTTGTATAGTAGAGTAGACCCTTGACTTACGAACGCAATTAGTTTGGAAGGGCTGGTTGTAACTCAAGTTGTTCAGTGAAGGCTCAGGCTCTTCTACACAGTCTTCAAAGTCTCTCTCCTGTCTACAGGCAGATCTCAGTGTCCTTAGAGAGACACTGGCCCAGGATTTCTCAATTAACCCTCCCCAGGAAAAGATATTGTAATATTCCTTCCAGAACTCTTTAAGGGTGAAATCTTTATCTGAGACCACCTGGAACCACAAGTGGCCAGCATTCAAGTTGTAACTCAAGACTTTGGTCATAAGTTAAAACTAAAATTCCAGTCATAACCCAAGTTATTCATATGTAACAATGGTCATAACTTAAGGGTCCAGTGTAATAATAATAAAATCATACACATGTACTATTTGATTTGGGTATTTTCATGTGAAGTCTGACATAGTATTGATTTCAGGATACCTGTAGTTATAACTACTCAATACCCTCCCTAGTTTAGTATTTTAGTAGGATTAAAATATTTTTCAAATAAGATACATTCAGTAGGCACTTACATGGACAGTGAAATCATTACTCTTCAAAAGGTGCCATCAAATTTGTGTATTGGTTCACTAAACTAATTGGCAAAAGACATTTTGAGAAGATTAGAGAAAGCTGGTTGTGGATTGGGTGTTAGATAAACATGAATAATTTTTATTTACATGTGACAATAATGTGCAGTTATATAAGAATATGGCTGTAGTTTTAGAGATGTGTGTGTGCTGAAATATACGGGTGTAATGACGTGAAACTGCTTTAAAATACTTCAGAAAAAGGAAATTAATTTTTTGGGGGGTCAAAATCTTGATACCTGCATCTGGTTATTAGGTTATGAGAGTTTATTTTACTATTTTCTCATATGTTATTTTTTGGCATTTGAGTTTTTTATTTTCCATCAGTTATTTATAGTCACATGTATCATTTCTGATTATTCATCCCATATCAAAACACTTTTATTGACTTGGTTTATTGGCTCTGGAAAAGAAATTTCAAACAAATAAAAAGCCAACCTTCAGAGACATACATAAGGAACCAGGAGATTTGTATGACCACAACCTGAAGGTCCTACTTCTGCCTCCTGTAGAGTAACCATTGCCATCCTATCATTAATTCTACTAGAACATGTCTTCACACTTCAGCCTAGATTAGTTAAATATTGGGTTATGTTCTGTAATGAAAGCAATAGCAGTGAATTCTCATGATTATTTTTGCCTTTGCTCATTGCAATACTGTTTAAAACACCAGTTTATATTTGTTTTTACTCATTCGGGTGTTCAACAGATGTGTGATTTTTTTTTTTCTTTTTGGCTTTAATTTTCATTTATTGTTTTATTAGTTCATGTTTGCCATACATAATGATTTCATCCATCATGGAGAATTTGTGCCCATACAAAATGTATCTTAATTCTTTTTTCTCTGTTCCCCTCCTTTCCCTTCAACTCTTACCACCCTCTCCATTTACAAAAGCTAGGTTTCCTATTTTTCTCCCATTCTCTTTTAAAATCAATTTTCCCTTCCTCCCCCTCCTCCTCCCTTGTTCCCCTTCCCATTTGAACATTTTCTTCTTACTTCTCAATATCTATCTTCAATTTTGTTCTTTATTTGCCCTTTGGATTTTTTACACAAAAGAAACAATGTGATATTTAAACTTGTGTGTCTTATTTATTTCACTTAAAGTTACAGTCT